TCCTGCTGAGTGCCCCCTCTGCTTGCTTCTCCCTCTTCCCTACCAGACTGTGCCTGCCCCAAACTAAGGGAGTGTGTTCCTGGAGTCAGGAGTTGTGGAGTTGTGATTTTGTTTATTTTGGAAGTGCCTAGAATATTTAGTTTGTAGAGAGAAACTCCCTGTTGTACAAGTAACAGAACACTTATATGAGGATCTTTAAATGATTAATTCTGCTTATATCTGGTTTTCATAATGAGCGTTTTATTTTTTTCAGAGTATGGGAATCTGTTTTATTGGTAAAAGAGATTTTGAAAGATTCATTCTTGAGGTGAGTAATATCTGGGGAAATTAATAAACTTTTCATTTACTGTATTTACTCAATTCTAAGACAAGGTTTTCTCCCCCATTTAATGTAGGGTTGAAAGCCCCTTGTCTTAGAATCGAGTACGAGGGTGGCGGTTGGGCAGGCAGCTGCTGTAGTTCGGTGTCCAGTCCCTGCCTGGGGTTGGAGCTGTAGCCTCAGCTGCTGCCTGCCCCCTCCCCTCTCTCCTGCTGCCTCTGCTCCCCCACCTGCTTCACTCCTTCCCACTTCATGCCAGTAAGCTCCGTCCATACAGTAGCCTGGGGCATGGAGCATAGCCCTAGCCCGGCCCCATAGCAGTCATGTGGGCTTCATGCTGCTATGGGGCTGGGCTGGGGCTGTACTCCATGCCCCAGGCTATAATGGGGATAGAGCCTGCCACTGTAGAGCAAGGGTAAGGGGGAGAAGGGGAGGGGAAGAGAAGCTGGGGGGAGGCAGAAGGGATGAGCAGAGGCTGGGGAAGAAAGCGGGGGAGCAGAGGCTGGGGAAGAGTGAGCAGAGGGTGCATGGGAAGGGCAGAAAGAGGAGCGGAAGGGGAAGGGGGGAGACCAAGGCTGGGGGAAGGGGGATAGGCACAAGCTGCTTGACCTTCCCACACTGTCAACCTCCCCATTGCCTGGCCCCTGGTAGAAGAGTGGGGGGGATGAATTAAAAGTGACCCTCAGTTAAAGTGTAGACATGGAAAATTATAACAAACTTACAAATTTTCCATGTATAGAATGTAATTAGTTGAGGGGGGTCATCTTAAATTCAGGACCATCCTAGATTTGAGTAAATACAGTAAATAGGAATTTGTGGTGTAGCCTAAAGAATGATCTCTCTCGTAAGTGTTTCTCTTTCTTGTAGTATTTAGAGCCTCATCCAGGTAACTTTGTTTCCATTGAAGATAACAGGGTTTTAGGAACACACCAAGGTAAGCATCTTTCTATCCTATACAGCTCATTTTAAACAACCCCCTTGTAGTGCACAACAATGCTACTATTATTTAGAACACTAGTTCTGTGAAATTCCAAAGATCTCTAATCCTAGTCTGTTTTAATATAACTGAATCATAGGAGACCCATCGCCCCCGTAACTATGGCTTGGGTCTACCTCTAACTTTGGTCCCTGATTTTACTCTAGTAGTTTTATGTTGTAGTAAAACAAACCATGATTGTTACCTAATACCCTGATATTTGGGATTACTTTGTTTGTGAGTAGGTCTTCATTAATTTTATATCATATCAGCCTGCTTTCTTTTAAAAAAATGACTGAATTTCAATTCCAGTTTCTAATAGTTTCCTTTAAATAGTATTTAAATTCCTTTAAAGATAAACTAGTATTAGGGGTACACCGATAGAGATTTTGGGGGCTGATATTCAAGGGGGCATGTTGACTGATACCAATCTGATTTCCAATACAACTGCGTGCAGCTGGTAAATCTGTAGTGGTGGAAGGTGAAAGGGGAGGGAAGGGGTATATGGGGGAGCAGATCAACACCCCCTGCGGTGAGGGAGGGAGGGGGCAGAGGCAGGGTTATATGCTTCCCAGCCAGGGTGGGGTGGGGCACAGGATGGAGCTGCGGCTTGTTGGAGGGGAGGAGGGCAGCTTCTGCTGCGCGCACCCTGGGGGGCAATGGTGGGAGAGCATGTGCCCCTGGATCTGCACCAGGGCAGTACAGAGTGGGCGGGCTGGAGCCAGGGCTGTGTTCGGCAGGGCGCTGGGAGGGTAGCTGTAGAGGGGGCTGCTGCCACCCCAAGTTTTGCCATAGCCCCTGCATAGTGCTGCTCCCAGCACTGCTGCTGCTCACCCAGCGTTCAAGCCCCCGCCTCCACCCACGCACTAGGAAGAGCCAGGGCTGTGGTGGGTGGCGACAGCACTGGGAGAAGCGCTACACGGGGGCTATGGCGAAATTTGGGGTGGCTGCGACCCCCTCAGTTACCACCCCCCTCCCAGCACCCCTGCCAAAAAGATGCAAAGCAGCCCTGGCTCCAGCCCACAGCGGCAGCCCGCCCACCCCATTCCAAACAAATCTGGGGGCACACTCCTCCCCACGTGCCCTCCCGGGGTATGCACAGTGGCAGGAGCCACCCCCCACTTCCCTGACAAGCTGTGGCTCCATCCCATGCCCTGTCCCACTCCAGCTGGGCAGCACCTGCCTCTGCCCCCTCACTCCTTCACCGCGAGGGATGTTGATCTGGCCCCCGC